GAGCTGGGCACGGAGCTGGGCACGGAGCTGGGTGGGCACGGAGCTGGGCACGGAGCTGGGCACTGAGCTGGGCACAGAGCTGGGCACGGAGCTGGGCACGGAGCTGGGCATGGAGCTGGGCATGGAGCTGCATGCAGAGCTGGGCATAGAGCTGGATACGGAGCTGGGCGCAGAGCTGGGCACAGAGTTGGGCATGGAGCTGGGTATGGAGCTGGGCACGGGGCTGGATACAGAGCTGGGTATGCAGCTGGGCATGGAAAGCCGGGCATGGAGCTGCATACATACATAGTCAGGCACAAAGCTGGGCATGGGTCTGGATACAGAGCCAGGCATGGAACTGGGCACAGGGCTGAGTGYRGAGCTGGGCATGGAGCTGGATACAGAGCCGTGTACAAAGCAGGATATGGAGCTGGACATGAAGTTGGGCCCTGAGTTGGGCGTGGAGCTGGGCATGGAGCTGAGTACCAAGCTCAGCACCGTGCTGGGTGCCACAGCTAAGTGATTTGCACCAAGCAGGTGCCAATCAGAGCAGTAATGACCAACCCGATACGGATGTGAACCAGCGACCCTTGGGCTAAGTGCTCTACAGCCCATTGCAGAATTCCCCAAGCCACCAAATGCCCCAAGAGCAGATTCAAATATTTATGTCCATTAACAAAACCAGCTCTGCTCCCAGCAAGGTGAGTGGGAGAAGAAAAGGAATTACACAGTTGTAAAGACAAAATAAAATACATCAGGGAACAAATAAAGTTGAATTAAAACATGCCAGTTTGGGGTTAATTTCATTCCTCCTTTCACTCACATTCCCTCTGAAAATATTCTCATGTAGTTGAGAGGTTAAATATTCAAAACTAGGCTTTGTTTGGGGGGCTTTTTTTTTTTTTTTTTTTATCAAAGACCTAATATTATGTAGGAAGATTGTCCGGATAGGACCACACAATTTAAAATCTAATCTGTAGATCATTACAAGACTAAAAATATTGGTATCCTTAAGCATCATTAATAATTCCTGGATTTGCGCATTGCTAAGTGCTTATTTCCATAGGCCTCTCACCCACCTGAGTTTCAGACTTGACAGAAAGGAATGCTCTGAAGAGCAGGCCTCCTTTGCAGCAAGTATTTAACATCAGGCTTCCCAAGACAAAGACATTTTGAATGCTCGAGCACCRAGGAGCTACTTCAAATAGCAAAACACAGTCTAGAAAGTTTTCCTCTGGTTTAGCTATAAATAGCCCTCTTAAATACGGAACCTATTAAATATGATTGTTAGCATATGACACTAGAATGATAAGGTCTGGACAAAACTCTAGAGCAGTAACATTTCAATAGTTGGTATTCGGGAGTTGGTACAGTTGGTATTGTCTCATGACAACGCCATCGTTTTACCATGAAAAGTGTRGAATTTTATTTATTTATTTATTCTGTTTTAGCTTAGAGCTTAAATCACAACTCACTGATTTTCTGGCTGAAAATCCCTACAATTCAGATTTCCCGTTTAATAACTGCTTCTTCACAAAGGACAATTTTCTACTTGTTTTTTCTAGGTTCACACTTTGATATTTTCATGAGTCACCAGTGAATTTGTTGACAGTGAAAGAAAAAAGACTGACATCCCTGGTGACCAAAGTTGCCTTCAAGGCAGGCACCTCGTCTCCCTCTGCTTCATGTCCCATGTCACAAAAGGCTGCACGTACATGTTTTAAATATCTGCTTTGGTAACATTCCCTGGTTTTGGTGCACTCCTGCAGGTAGGTCATCTTTGCTTCTTCTTATCTACACTACGAAGTTGCACAGAACCGCTAGTGTAAAGTGGAATAGCTTATTCAGAATAAGCCCATATATGGGACTTACTCCAATAAGCCAAATTCCACAACACAAGTGCTCATTCTGATATCATTATTCAAGAATAGCTATTTTGGTAAAATTCCATGTGTCGACAAGGTCTCTGGGAGGGGGGAATGGCGCTTTTGGAAGAGAAAATGTGTGCGGTGGACTGAACAACTAACCCTGCAAGGAAACTGTGAGCTGTAATCTTTTTGTTGATCTATGTCCAGTGTGCACGTCTGAACTCAGAATGGCTGTGTAAAGCTTAGGGTGGAAAACGCCTGGTCAGCCAAACAGAATTTGGGGCTGCTATGGAAATAGAAATAAATACTAACAAGTGACCAATTCCCTTATATAAATAAATTAAACTGAACAGGACATAAAACAAAGCAGAAATAGCTAATGCACAATTTAAGAAATTAAAAACCTGCAGAATAGTTCTTACTACTCCACAACCACTACTTTGGTTCAATTCCTTTTATGATGCTTTATCATATATTCAGTTCTTTGCATTAGTGAGTATTTCTTGTAACTTTATCTAGAACTTTAAGTTGATGGAAACTCAAGTCCAGGGTGTATGTCCAGAAATACAGTTGTTCAAAGAATAATACATAGCACAGATAAATCAACTGGCTTTTCAGCAGAGAGCAATGGGGTTCCAGTAGGCACCCTGTTACAGCAGGGCTTACTTCACAGCATCTTCCAGAGAGAGTCACCGACAGCAAGGAAGCCAAAACCAAAAAGGCTGTTCACCTCCATCCAAGTTCACCTCCATCCAGGTGAACAGGCAGGGRAGAAAAACAACAAACAAACAAAGAAAAACAAACAAACTGAAACCCAGAGCTCTCAGATATAGATGATTTTGCAGGTTATTCCACATTTTGGCTAGGGCAGGTTAGCTGCAAATACAAGTTAACAGTAAGTACTGCTTCCTGGGTTTAAAAAGAAGAAATTTTGGACTGGAAGGAAAGACTTCGTACACTGAGATCAGCACACTGCTTTTCTAGACAGTCACCTASCAGCTGTTGGGTGCTCCTGACCCTTGCAAGTTGCAGGAGCCCTGCTCTCTCCTGCTTTGTTCGAAGAGTATACTATTGTAAACTTGAGATTTAGGGTATGAAAGACGGGAAAATTCTCCAAAATACAATGAATTACCCTCCCTTGTGGTATTTATAGAGAAAACACAAGGATAGACAGCAAGGACAAACCTAACATCTTAATTCTAGAGCTCATTGGAGTCACAGGCTCAACCACGCTCCCTTACCAAGGATGTCCAGTCTACATACGTGATTTATTACCTGCAGCCACTGCCACATTCACTGCACTTCAGTTCCTCCCCAAAGCCAAGAGCCAGCTTTGGAATTCTGTTCCTCCCACACCTCACTTCTTGTAAGTAAACAGTTCTCCAGCAAAATGAGTGGATATCTCTTCCCAGTTAATCCCGAAAGGATTACCATTACTGCTTTTCTTAAGTGAGAGTATCCTACTTCAGGAGTATCCTACACTACAGCACAGAGAAAAAGCCTTCCTGCATGTAAACTACAAAATTTGATTTTGCAGTATTCTTATAAGATACATGTTTTTATAATAAAYAAATAAGAATTTATTTTTTCTATTCTTCTGAAGTTTTTAATTAGGGTACCTAATTTACAGTATGAGAAAGTGCATCTAGAACAGGTACATACAGTTTACACATACATTGTCATTTATATGAGAACATGTTAGTAATAAGGAACCAGAGTTTCTTATTTTCATCATTTGGCCACACTTAAAGAAAAACATCAGTTCATGAGGAACTTGTAAATTGACCTCTGCACTCCATATGAGCACATTAGGGACAAATTTTAAGATTTCTTTCTCTGGAAAAGATCTACCATGCAGAATGTGCTTAGCACTGATCTTGAAAATGTGCTTATTCGCTACTCTATTTTAAGCTAATTAATCACACATTATTTTTGTTGCAGAGTTTCTGGTAGGAGCTATTGCCTCCACTAGGGCCTTTACAGTTTAGAATTTTGAAAAAAAAAAATTCTCTTGCACTTATATTTCCAGGGATTATCAAAAAGTCAAAGCCCAGATGCTAATATGATCAAGACTTTAAATGGCAACCAGGGCCAGTTTATAGAGGTGGTTTTTTTTCCCCAAGTCATATTAAACTTTACTTGTGTTTCTTCTTTTCAGACCTGCAACACCAAACTATAGTTTTAAAATACAGATGGGTTACTACACTATTCATGTGAAAAGGATTCGTAACATTCTGGAATGCTTATCACTACTTTTGATATGAAAACTCTTGTTCCTCTATTAGAAAAGACTTTTAATTCATGCCAGGCAAGTCAATTACCTCGCTGTCCTCTGACTTTCAATTCAGAACAATTTCCTGTCTACTCGATTCCTACACAGATTTTTAAAATATGCCACATGCTGCAATACAACAGCACTACTTAAAGTAAAACTCCCTAAGCAATACCGAATATGTAAGAACATTGCTGTTGAGGAAATTTAATATTTCATATTAAGCTCAGGGTTCAAGCACGCTTCATTATAGGAATGCAACAAACTGACTCATAATATAGAACTGATATAGATCTGAACTAATCTAAATCACGACCTGTCCTAGCCATCTGAATTTAACTTGCATTTTTTTTTTAAGTTTAGACTTATTCCAGTAAGAAATGAAACCTGATGTCAGGCTGCCATCCTTCCTGTTCTTGAACAGCAGATTCCAGTTACATCTAGAGGAGGTGTGACAGGTACATTCCTGACTCTGCTCCCCTATCCTGTTGATCTTCCCTTTCCCAGAACAACCCTGACATGCACCTTTCAGAATGCCTTCTTCCTGAAATTTCCATGGGCTTGAAATCACTGTGTCATCTGGCTCTTCGTGGAACCTCTCAAGAGCTGTTCATAGTTGGGAAACAACCATTGAAGACCAGTGCAGGTGAAGACAGAGGCAAAAGAGCTGAGCAGACACAAGGGAAGCCAGAAAAGCATCCTTTTTATGGCTTCACATCCTGAAGTAAGTCTCARGAAAGAGAAAACTTACAGGTGGCAGTTTTTTTCTGAACGCTTCTCTTTTGGGTTTTCAAAAACAAGTGCTTTACAGAACTGAGGTACTATTGCAACATAAAGCACAAGGAAACTCTGTAACTCTGCTAGGAAATRCTGAGAACTTGCACACTTTGATCACATACATTAGCGGAACACATTAAGACAATTTTAATACAGATTTCTGTTACAACAGAGGACTGCAGCAGTTCTTCAGAATAGTGACTTGGAGGCAAAATGATTCCTTGGCTAAAACCACACAACTTGAAGAAATGACAATTATCATTACTTTGCATATATTCATCACTGTTTTTACTTTTCTTAATCATGCACAAAAGGAAAAAACAACCCTGCCTGCACTCATAGTAACTTCAGAACCTCTCAATTTTGGTGAGAGAATTCAGGTTTTCCATAGATATATAAGACAAGCTTTGTTAAGCCTTGAGCAAGGCAACATTTAAGGACACAAAGATTCCACAGTGCCTCTTCCACTAAGTATCCTCAATGAATGTTTTCAGTAATATTTTTTTTAAAAAGAGTTTTTCAAAAAGGGAAATTATGTACCTATGTGTGTATAGGCAAAATAGTA